TCTGGTTTACCCAAGGGACCACGGCGATCGACATTCCACAATCAAGCTTTTTTTTGTTTAAATTTCCAAAAATAAAAGAAATATGATTATATGCACGTAAGAAATAACTACTAAGGATAAAAAAAGGAAAAAAAACAAAACTGTAATATTCCTACGGACAACGGCAGGCGTAAACCCCCGCTCCGTTTTTATAAATTATCACGATTAAATTATTTTTAAAACTAAAAAAAAATGCATGATACTTTTTTAACATTATATTATAATTTTTGAGAGAAAAAACAAATTGGTCCACGGAGAAAGTTTCATTCGAATGGCTTGGTCGTTAAATTGTTAGGTATGCGGGCTATCCTTTTATGTAACAAAGTGATATACGTTTTTATTTTCACCTCCTAATTAAAGTTATGAAAAAAGGTTTTAAAATATATTATTTTGGCTAATAAGCAAAGCCCTGATCTAATTTTACTTTAAAAAACAATGATATTGGATCACAGGCGGATTTACGGGGAAGTTGGGGAAGAGGCTTTCGGACTGAAGCCTCCCCCCAAAATAGTAAAATATAACCATATTTTACAGAAAAAAAAAATTAAAAACTATCTCTTAAAGAATTCTTGTTCGTGTAATTTCATTGAATAGGACATCAAGAACCACTTAAACAAGATTTCATATAGGTAGTCAATTTCTTTCTTTTTTTTATATTGAATATATACAAAAACAACTTTTCAAGGAGAATTAAAATAGGATTTGTTACTGACGAACGGCAACACTGAGCACTGATAACGGAAAATAGCTTCTTTTCATTAACTAATGATAATTATTAACCGAGCCATTTTTTATCAAAACTTGAATAACAAGATTTTGTAGTAGATATATTTCTTCAATCTTTATAAATAAATAACTGTCTGCAACGATTATGACCACAATATTTACTTCATAATGATAAAATTTTCTATAGTTTATAAATTGTCACTTCAAAAGGTATGGAAGTTGAATAGAACATCTTAAGACATAAGTTGTCTAGACACATCTTAACTTCAGCAAATACCTGAAGAGAGGCACAGACCCCGAGGCGTACAGGAAAGAGCCCTTCACCAACAACATAACGCCATTCCACGTGAGTCTGATGACCTTTTTTGTTTCAATTTAACTACTTCCTACTTCTAACCGAGCTCGATTCTGTCTTTTGATGGACTATATTCCAGCAATTCATAAATCTCCTTTTAAATTAATTCGGCTTATATTAATTTTACTGAATTTAATTTTTTTTAAATGAATATATACTTTTTTTAATTAGTCTTATAAAAAATAAATAAAAAATAGCCGTATTAATATTGAAATACAAACATAAACAATAAATAAATCGTAGGCTACTATTCGAAATTATGTTATAAATATTAAACCTAAATGTTAAGTTTGGTTTATTATTTTCAATTATTAACCTTTGTAACCGATCAAAAATAAAGTTAATCCCACCCTAAAATTTGAGGTTAAAAGGTGTGTTTAGATATTTCACAAACAATGGAAAACAAAATTATCTTACTCAATTAACAACGACATTATTGCTAAACTATTTATTTTATTTCTCTTGACACCGACAGACATAGGCGGATCAACGGAGGGGAGAACCTTCCGGGCTGAAGCCCTCCTCCCCACAAAATGGTAAATCACGTCATATGAAAAAAATTTTTAAAAAATATCTGTAACATTATTATTATTCGTGTTATTATAATTTAATAGAACTTCAAGAATCACTTAAACATCATTTCATATAGGTAGTTAGTTTCTTTATTTTTCTTCCAAAGTAATTATCGTAATAAACATAAAGAAAAACTCCGGTTGAAGCCCTCTCCCCTCTCCCCCCAAAAAATAAACCCTGGAACCGCTATTGGTGACAGCAAATGGAAAATATCAAAAACAAGAAACCAAAATACTAGCACAGGGAAATTACCGTTTATATATTTGTTTGTTCCATAGTTTGTGAAAAAAACACCTTTACGTTTCAAGCTATATAAAATCAGAAAACCTAATAGAAAAGAAAAAAATCCGTCCATTGTCCGCATTTTTTCTCCGAGACTAATAGATTGATTGTTTTGAGATTTGGTTATAATGTCAAAAGGCATCCGAGAATGATTCTCGGAATTTCCTCTCAAGATGGCGAACAAAAAACCTGTGATGCTATAGACTATAGGGACTAAACGAATGTACCGATTTCAATGAAACTTGGCTAAAGTCTTCTCCCTAGAAGCCCTTTAATTTTATTTATATACATATTTATAACATACTTCACCGAAAAGAAGATGGAGCACAAGTTACGAAGGGGGGGGGGGATAAAATTAGATTTTTGAATAACTTGAAAAGAATACATTCAGTGCCGGGGCCTTAGGGTGGAGCAACAGGAGCACTGGCGGATCCAGAATTTAATTTTGGGAGGGCTTCAGCCTGAAAGATTATTTTTCATATACATATAACAATAATTAATTAGAAAAAAATAAAAGAAATTAACTACCTATATGAAATGGTGTTTACGTGGTTCTTGAAGTTTAATGTAATTACACGAACAAGAATACTTTAAGAGATAGTTTTAAATATTTTTTTCTGTAAAACATAGTTATATTTTACCATTTTGGGGGGAGGGCTTCAGCCTGAAAGCCCTCCCCTCCCCCCCCCCCGTAGATCCGCCTGTGAACAGGAGCAATCGTCCTGGGGCGACGACCTGGAAGGGTCGGAGGTGCTGGGCGATCTTCAGAGGTGCTCGTCACTTGTTAGAAATTAAAAAATAATTTTAAAAACCTATTAAAATTAAGAATTTAATTATGTATTATTTTGTTATTCTAAAGGGACTTTGTCCCAGAATAAATTTATTTTCTATTTCTATTTCTGTGTATGTTGTAAAATCAAAATATTTTGTTATTTATATTTCTTTTTATTTATATTTCTTATTATTAAATTACAATATTATATATATATATATATATATATATATATATATATATATATATATATATATTGTAAAATAAAAGTGGTCCGATCAGTAAAGCAACTGTATCATAGCATAAGAAATAAATTTAATTTTTAAGGGAGAGGGGAGAGAATGACATCATTGTCGAGGGGCACTGACTTTATAAGGCCAGAACTGCATACCCTTTTTTGTTGATGTATATGGCATGTTTAGAGCATAGTAAATTTTTCCCCTCTCCAGCCCCCCCAAAAAAAGAATCCTTGAAATCGGACGATTAGGAAGATATGTTGTTCTAAATATTTTCCTCAAGTACTTCTGCAAAGCTGATATCTTTTCTTTTTTTTTTTTGGAAAGAAAAAAATAAAATAAAATTATTAGGCCAATAGTAGTAATCACCTTTTCATTATTTTCTTCTATGTGACAAGAAGAGTAGTATTACATATAATATCTAACTGTTTGGGAATTACAAACCATAGTGCAATAATTTGCTGTGTTTTATTTATCATTTACATTTTAAAGATTATTTCAAATAAGCTATACCTAATTTTATAAATGAAAATATATGTCTTGTTAAAACTAGTAAATGAGGTACAATGAGTTAGTTAAGAATATGATGAAGAAGATATGGCAAGATAGGATTTTCCTTAAAATCTTAAAGCCAAAAAAACGTTAAGAATATAATGAAGAAACGTTAAGGATTTGTATGTATATATTTAATTTATTTAGGGTGTCTTGTAAATAATCGTTTAGCAGACATCAAGATCAACAACAATGTTGATTTACACCAGGATCTAATTCTGGAAATTCAAAGGAAGAAATTAATTTTTTAAATTTTTTTAAGTCAGTCATGTTGTTTGTTGAATAAGAAATGATAAACAGAAATATAGTAAACTAGATAACATTACTTTCAAATGTAATTTATCATTGTTAAAACCACTTAAAAGGAACTCTTGCGGATAAACTATGCTAATTTTGTTTTTCATAAAATTATGGATTATTCAAGATATTAGTTAAGTTTCAGCTTGTCAGAGAACAAGCTGAGATTCATAGTCAGTTATTAAAAAAAACACATGTGATGCATATGGATGTAGACTTTTTGGGGAGGGGGGAGAGGGCAAGAACAAAAAATAAATAAATACAAAAATAATAAGATGGGTGTTTTTATTATGTATAAAAACTCAACATAATTATTGTGGAATAAACCAATATAATATATAATATTTAAAATTAATTGGTTTATATGTTTGTATAGCTGTAAGAATTTTTATTTTATTTTTTAAAATTTTATATACTTGAAAATATCTAAAAAAAAAAAAAGAATACAATTAAATATATAGTGTATTTGTTTAGATTAAACATAGGGGAGAGGGGAGACAGCCTTCATAACATTGGTACATTTCTAGAACTTTTTCAGCTAAAAATGAATAATGTAAAAAAGTAAAAAAAATCTTTTATTTTATTATTTGATTAATATTGTGTACAACCTAAAATAAAAATAAAGCGTTTTTCACAATGCGACTAGTTTCGTCACGGAAAATGTGATAAAATATCATGTGGAAATTAGGGAGTGATTGAATCTTAAAATCCTAAGGTATTTTGATATATATTATTATTTTTGAATATAAATGACAATTTAAATAAATATAACATTTAGGTATTAATAAAATACCTACTACTAGGTTTAGCTCGACTAGCCTTGTCGAGTCTGCTAGTCGACTTTTCTTAGTCTATTTTTAATATACTCATTTTATTCATTCCTAAAGCTTTTTTATTTTAATTTTTTTACCTCAGATTATTGTAGGGTGGGGAAGGAGGAAACTATGTTCTCGGCCTCTCAATATTTTTTTTAGAGGGGAAGGAGAGAGAGATGACCCCTTCTTGACTCCCCTAGACTCTTGAGATCAACTATCATCTATTTAAAAATATTCATTATTCATGGTATATCCTAACTAAGTATATTTTAAACATTTTATCAACCTGTTTTCTTTGGCACATAAGGGTTCTAAAGTTTAGATTTAAGTATTTGAACACAACTTACCACATGATACTTGAAAAAAACATCAATGAAAATTTTAAAAGATGATGAGGCTGGTTCCATCCATAGGCAAATAAGTTTTTTTTTTATAACATGTATGGTGAACAGGTATCAATAAATAGAAAAATAAATTTGTTATCAAGATAATTTATTTCCATATAAGTCAAAAAGAAAAAAAATTCAAGGAACAAAGGTTACAATACTTCGTCCAATTTATTACTGTAATATAATAAATGTGCACTAAAGCCAAAAGAGTTTTATTGAAAGGCTGATAATTATAAATACGTTTTTAAATTATTGAGATATGCATAAATCTTAAAAAGATCATTTTCTGTTATAACAAAGTATTATATAAGCTATGTGACTCGAATTAAAAAACAAATATACATAATTAGGCCAGGAAAACCGCTATTACTAAAGTTACAGTTGTCTTTCGTTGTTCAAAAATGCACAGCCATCAATAAAAACCAAATAAATATAAAAATTCTGTCAGTAAAAAGATAAAACAGTTAACAATAACAACTTATATTATACAAAATCATCATGCATGATAAACTATAAAAAATAATATACAAAACTTAAGGACTAAGCACACACCATTTTTAAACACAAGAGCAACATATAAGTAACTATATATACAAATAACTTTATAGATTAAACAAATATACTTGTTAAAGATTCAGAATTAATGATCTTTTCAAGGGAAAAAGAAAAAGAATTTAAGAAGAACCACCATTTTTAGGTTTGTAAAGACGTAAAAACATTAAAAAGATTATATATTCAATAACCAAATAGCACTGTTTAATACTGAAGAGATCATAGATCACTCATGGTGATTTATCACAGAGTAATAACAAGTGTACGAGTTCAATAATACGTTCATGTACATTTAAAACAGATATATACACAACAGGACCATCAGAATTGTGCGTTACACACATCATGCTCATAAATATCCACTATTAAATTACTAACTATACTGTAAAAGTCTTAAATAATAAACATCAGAGATTTCTTAAATAATTAAAACTTATAGTAAACAACATATTTCTGCACTTTTGTAAACTTTAATATTTCACAGCGATATTAAAATTGATCTCTAATCCTCAAAGGTTTTCAACCAATCTTAGCACCACCATCACATATAATATACCACAATTCTTCAAGTATATTTTATTGAATATTACAGAATATTAAATTTTAATTAACTTGTAATGAAAGGTGCAGAAGAGCCGTATAACATCATCACTAATGATAAGAACCTTCAAAGCTGTGCTGATTCAATTCCTATTGGAGAGGCTAAACATTCATTTTACAGTAGACCCAGAGAATAAATACTAACTTTCTCACTCATAGTAAAATATGATTAAATTTCTTTAAAGAATAAATAACTTTATAGTTGAAGTTTCATATAAAAAACGACAAAACATAAAAAGTGAGAGATGAAACATAGTGACATTTTATATACATATTTTTTTTTTTGTTAGTTTTCAGTGTAGGAGATGAAAACAGTTGTGAGTATAAAATTAAGATAAGAAATTGGAAGATTTAAAATATGCAAAACATACATTAAATATGAAAAAAAAATGACTCATAACCTAAAACTAATCAAGGAAGAATATTAACATCTACCAAACACTTATACAATAATAGTTATCTTAGTAATTTTTGGTCCCAAAATTAATTTTTCAAAAACAAAAAACAATATTTATATCCTTTAATGTATTCATTGTCAAAGTAAATGAAATATTTTTGCCATTCTGTAATAATCATATATTCATGCATTTTATAAGATGCGCTTATAATCATCACATTTGACAAATTTTATAAATATTTGAAGAATTGAAGTGATTGTTTATAATTTTTTCGTTTAAGGTTTTTGCTTTTCTCTCCTTTTTTTTTTCATTTATTCATTGAATTAATTATTAATTAATTCTATAGTAGTTATAAAATTTCTAATACACAACTCAACAATTGTTATAAAGTCAGGGTACTAATATTCATATCAAAGTTTTACAAATTTGTTAAACTTTTTGTTCCCCATTAAAAATACCAAAACAATTTAAATAAAATTTATATGATAGATGTTTCATTATATCGTGTCTCTTACAACTTTGCTCACAAGTCACGAATTTTAAGTCAAATATGTTTCTTTTATATACTCATATTTAAAGTCAAATATGTTTCTTTTATACACTCATATTTAAAGTCAAATATGTTTCTTTTATATTTTTTATACTTATATTTAAAGTCAAATATTGTGACCTCTGGAGAAAGTTAGAAGAGAAGAAAGTTAAAATAATTAACATGCATAAATAATAAAGTTCTTATTAGATGTTCATAAAAATTCAAGATCTAGATTCCACAAACATAAACAATACTAAAATTTAATGTTTCTTAAGGGACGTAAAAAATTAAAACTTTTTTGTAGTGACTAATTTTTTACATGAACATTTTTCTTTTATCCTTCATCTCATTTAAATAATAGTAAAAAACAGTAATTTAGAATATAACATGGAATAAAACTACTATTGGAAATTAAATAATTTCAATTCAGTCCTAATCATTCCAATCAGTGTAAATCATACTTATGGGTTCCGATTCACTGGTTATTCAAGGGAAGAAAAAACAGAAGATTGATGAAAAGTAAATACAATACATAAAACTATCACTAATGTTATATAATGAGAAAAATCGGTATGTAATCTATCACATTAAATTTGCAGAAAAATGTCGTAATATACAAAAAAAAAAAAAAAAAAAAAATCACAACTAATTTTATATTTAAAAAAAAAAAATCACAACTAATTTTATATTTAAAAAAAGGAGAATTAAGATGAAGGAAGAATAAGATAAATTTTAAAAACTAATATGATGACATCCAATTTAATACCATGTAGGAATTATATGATGCAAGTGAAATTGAAATATAAGCATCATAAAAATTTAATATAGGTAATATCAAAATAGAAGATAATGCACAAAACACCATACGGAGTGCCATAAAAGGCATATATGCGTTACAAACTATGGGTGCAGAAGAACATCTAGGGAAGATACAGTACTCTCAGGCAGTCTATAGATTATTCTAATGATTATACAATGCATAAGGCAAAGTGGTACTTTGAAATAGTTCCATTAAATATCCTACAACACACTGAGTTTAATATAACTATTACACAGAGAAATACAATTACAATTAAAAGTCAATATAAAAATTACTCCCTTCCAATATCTAAAGATAATGTACCAATACTACAATATCAGATTAAAAATAATTAATGAACAGACTGTACTTGTTTTATATGCAACAAATAATAAAATATTTTGGGTTTAAAAGATTTTAACTTAAGAAATTAAAGGTAGTACAAAATCTCATGAAAAAGTTAAGGATTTGCAAATCAGTTTGTACTTACTACAAGGTGTCTATGGAAACCTTTTTATGGAATTAACTGACGTTTCTAGGTTATGTTTGGAAAAAATTTCAGGTCACTGAAATAGTAAATTTTTAAAAAGTGATGTTTATTATTAATAATTTTACATATTAGGTGTAATATTTAACACTTTAAATACTGGTCCACAATAATTTAGGTATTATAAGAAAATTAACTTAAATGTTTGTAAGAAATCTAACAAAAATTAAACAGCTTTACAAATAATGTTTCCCAGAGCAATAAAACATCGAAGCAGCATGAGTGATATTCAAAACAGTAAAACAAATCATCTGTAAAACTAACTTTAAATTTTTTTGGCACAGAAATATATAACCAATAGTTGTAATTATTGACAATAACTATTACTGAAACAATAAAATAAAATTATTTGTGAATATTTCACTACTCTGTAGACTTTTTGTAAGCAACAATGATTTTGTATCATAACAGTTAACTGGTGCTCTTATAGTTTCTAAAATTTTCTAATTCCCATAATATTCCCTGACTTTTCTATGTTCAAAAAATTCCCTGATTTTTCCATTTATTCCAGGTCTGGTAGACATCCTATGTCATCATATATTTAAAGAAGAAAAAAGAATAATTTTTTTGGCTAATGATAAGAGAATGATTATAAACTTACATAGATATAACATCAACATAGCTATAAAAATATTATATCTGGATAAATGTCTCAGCAAAATTAAACTACCAAACTAACAATAATACAATATTCACAGGAGCTCACTATTGACTTTAGAGTACAGGTTTCGACAATATGGAAAGGATTAATATAAGGAAAGAGCATTATAAAAGAAATAGAAAGCATTGTCAACAAAAGGAAGGGGACAACAATTTTAAACTCAGTATATTGGTGAGAGACATATTTGATTTAAACATAGAAGTATATGATGTTGGATCATCTTAATTATAATGTTTTAAACCGGATCATTACTTGTTTATTGGTTACTGCGGCAGGGTAAAGAGGAGAAAAATAATTATAATCAATGAAAAGCTTGAAGTTGCAGATAAGGCAAGTACAGCATGGGAGGAATGAATTAGATTATAACATCCATTCACAAGATTAATAACAATATGAGATTTTTATACAATTATGTTAAACTTTCACAATGAATAGAATTACTATTACTAACAATCTAACAGAATTTGTAGTATTGTACTACAAGAAAATAATTTATTAGAAAATTGGTTACTTATTGGTATCTAGATTTGTCTGATCAGCTGTCATAACAAACTGCTGCCAAACTTAGTAGCAATATTAAGAAGATAGTGTTTTGACTAGTTTTTCAACATTAATAAATAATCTCCAAGTTATTTTTACCCTGTTTCTAAAAGCAAATATAACAAATGAATATTAATGAAACTATACGAACAAAGAAAAGAAACAGAGTTGATGAATGGTATTAAAAGGAAACCCATTTTGAAATAATTAAATATTTAATGATAAATAGAATTTTTATATCATAGTAGTTTACTTATGTATAAATTATATCATGTTCAAATATCTATATTACATATTTTAAATTTTATCTCCTTAAAATAAATCTATTAAAACATCTTATCTTAAAATAAATCTAATTTTAATATTTTGTCATGAATTTCATTAATCAAGAGTTTTAAGTTTGTATGAAATTTATCCATTATATTCCTGCTCTTTTGTTTACTTTAACCAGTCTTATTTATGAAAGTAATGTTTAGTTAGTGGTCATTAAGATGGTTTTCACAATTAAAAACAAAATTTTTTTATTTTATTTTTTTTAATATTGTAAAAATAATATCTTTTTAAAGAGTATACATATATATATATGTATGTATATGATATATATATATATATATATATATGTATGTATATATATATATATATATATATATATATATATATATATATATATATATATATATATAGATATTTTAAAGCTTTTTATATGTATATATACTTACTAATATACAAGTTCATTTCAAGGCAGAAAGAGCATTAACTTATAAAATTAAGATTGTTTCAACCACCTTTAGTTTCAGTTTAAAAATGCCAAGAGTCATGTCCTTATCACAGTATATTTTAAAAATAAATTCTCCACCATTAGGAAATAGCAACTTTTCGTCTAAGTCATAATCAATTTCAAATTGAATTATATATGAAGTAAGCTTATTTCGTTAGAGTTTAATATAACAAAGATTTCTTACAGAGTAACTAGAAATTAATCAAAATGACAAAAATGTATTAAAAAACCCATAAAAATTAAAATTAAGACTATGAAACATGAACAGAACTATTACAGAACAAATGACTCTGTCAGATAAGCATGTACTCTAGGAGTAACTTTCAAGATAATAAAAGTACAGATTCTCTTATGTATTAAGAGGTTTAAAAATTATTTTGTGGAAAACCTAAGGAAACAATCTCGACCTTATCACTCTGGTGGCTAGATATGTTCGCTATATAGATATTTTCTCCTTCCCGTCTTAATTGTTGTACTAAGTGGCATGAGAAAAATATAGAGGAACAAATAATTATGATAATCTTGATTTATGTCATATTACCTTTTTTCCCATTTTAATGAATTTTTAATACAAGAAAATATAATTAATTGTTCCTGTATGAGAATAAAAATTGATGAAAACAATAAAAACTTAGGTGGCTGAAACTTTGTCTCAATACTAATAAATAATAGTAGGAGTCGACATTGATGGAATAAGAACATACTTTAATTTTAATAGTATAAAGATTAAACTTATTGATGAACTGAGATTCAACATGTATCCCAAATGAAGACTACAAGATTAGAAAAATTATTGTGATCAATAAGATCGACTTATATTTTCAAATGATTAGCACTAATTTTTAAGAGTAAATACAAGAGCAAGCATATGAAAAAACAAAACAATCTTAACACAAAATGTTAAACAATCTTCTCGTATGAATTATTGCTATTAAGGTACAATGGTAACACAATACTGCATATTATACAACCTAAATTATAAATACTGTAATGAACATATTAAGAGATATATCCCACCCGAGAAGAAGAAACTAATGTTTGGGAAGAGTTTAGAACATTACTCCTAATCAATATGTGAATTAAATTGATAAATATATATACAAATAATGTTAATATTCCAGTGAGGAAGATTAAAATATTGCAAATATGATAAATGAAGACCCGTAATATCAGTGAGTAGGGTAAAAAATGGTAGCAATATGGAGACCTCAACGTTGGTCCCGATTCTGAAAATCTTAAAATTACGTTTAGATATAAATATTACTTTTTGAAAGTATTTTCTATAAATATTTACCTTATAAATATATCATAATATATTAATAGTGATGAGATCAAGTGCTATAATTAGCAAATCGCAAATTATACAGATAGTTTTTTAACTATAACATATAAATCTATATTAGTCAGTAATCTTATTAAATTTATAAAGGTAGAATCGTATGATATAAAAACGATGTGAAACATGAAAGGCATTTTCAGTCAATATGCAAGATTTTAAATATTAAAAAAACAACTATACAAACACTAGTTTTAATTTAATCACTACGAAAAATGTGCTCATTTTTTTTGTTTTTTAAATAAAATTTGATACAAATATTTGGTCTTGTATTGGGTAAATGTACTTAATGTAAAAGAAGAGCTGAAGCTTAAGAAAATACTGAGATAGAAAGCACCTAACTTTGGTCAGAAAAAGTTGTGTCTTTCCTAGTGCTGAAAGAGCAACATTAGGGTAGAGATGGGAACCTTAGCTGTCTAGTCTATTAAGAGATTATTGCTTAACGTTATTGATCGAACCGCGTTCCTTCTTCAGCCACTACCGTAGGAGGCCTGGTGATCCTTGAGGTCTTTGGCGGCGTGCAGCAAACGCTTCACGTGGCCAACTTTAGTCACTCCAAGCTCCTTAAGATCTCTCCTTGTTAAGGTCATCACTTCGCGACCTCGGAGATCATGCCTAGTGAAAGCCTCACAGTATTCTCCAAGTTGCAAAGATTCCAACCAAGAGCTAACCTAAAAGTAAAATTACAACCATACATTAATAATCACAAAATTAATGAAACTTGCTTTATTAACAAACTGAGTATACTAAAAATATTTTTAAATACTGAGTAAAGTGAGAAAGAAATGAAAAAGTGTATCAAGATGAGTGATGAAAACAGTAGTAGCACTAATTTACCTTTGAATCAAGATTTGATTTTTTGAATGATGAAGAAATTAAATGAAAAACATAAATTTTTACTACACACATGCTAAAATAATACATGAGATTAGGCTTAATAATAAATTTCAAAAAAACGTTTGTTCCTACGCCTTAGATGATAAAAATCTTGCCAATGGAAGGCTGCCACTGTTAAAATGCACAGGGGGGCCAATCGTTCCCTAATAAATATAGAGGGGTGGAGAGGGAGGGGGCGAGAATATTGTTTTGCTCTCCTTCCCCAATATTTTGAAGAACAAAAATTTGAAAAAATAAAATCAATAACAAGTAATCTACATGTAAAATAAAATCAATTAATGAAATAGAAAAAGTCGACAAGATGGCGAAGCTAAGGCCTAGAAGTAGGTATGCAAGTATTTAACCACACCCTGTGTTCCTATTATTGAAATTTTAGTTTATATTCTAAGATAATTATATTGTTTAGTTTATATAGTACATGTACTTTAGTATTACATTGTTTGTTTTATAATAATATGTTGGTTATGTTAACTATCACTTATAACTTTTATACATAATATAAACACCTGAGACTTTTTGGGGAGGGGGAGAGAGAGAAAGGAGATCCATCACCCCTCCTGCCCAACCAGAATGGAAAGTCTGCACCTGTGATATACACTATATATATGTATAATTTTTTTTTTTTATTGTACCCGCAAAAGCAGTTTCTTGTAGTTCACTATTGAGTTAATTAAAACAAACTACTGTTGTCTATTTGTATGAAATGAAACATTATTAATTTAACATTTTGGCTACTACTGTTTTCCAGGTATCATTAAAGCCTAATCCCCAGAGCCTGTGTTAGCATAAATTATAGACAGACATAAATAATTGTGTTCACATATTGAACAACATTTTTTTTTTTAATTTAAAAATATTTATAAGTTATTAGCATTTATTTTAAACTTTTCGGTCTAAAATGTATATGTTTATTTATTTTTTTTTTTTATAAATGAATATAAAGTAATTGTTTCTTTCAAAACCTGTACCACTACAAACCCATGGTGGGTCTTGGGTTCAGTACTTTGTAAGAAAATACAGTTTCAAGGCAGAGAAGTGATTGGACTAAAGTCACACTCAACTTCCAAGTTTTTCTCCTGAATTAATTTTTTAATTAAGAGTAACCACTTTATAGGAGCTGGGTTTGCCTCAGAATAAATAATTACCAGCCACAGCTGGACTCGAACACAGGACCTTGAGCATTAGAAGTAGGCTTCTTAATCACTGAGCTACCCTACTCCCTTTTCTTTCAAGTTTAAAAAAGTAAAGTTTAATTGACTTTAAAAATATCTTAACTTTTATCACTCAGCACCAGTAAAGAAATTATAAATTATATTTTCAAGGTGCTAGAAGAAGAAAAATATATCCTTGGGAAATCCGAAACCGTAAAAAAATAATAATAATAAGTATTCAATAATATATAGCTCAAAAACGATTTCTTGATCTTAGGCACCAACTTATGAAAATTCTTCGGAGGCCAAACTATAAGATCACAGAGTGAGGGTCTGGAAGGGTGGGTTTATTATTTGGAATACATCCTATATGCAATGTATAATACGTATTTCTATATGAAAAATTACCCTCATCAGGCAAGTATTTATTTCAAGGCCTTTCTGATGACAAAAAAGTGTTAAGTCACACAAAATACTTTAAGCTAAAACAGTACAGTATTTCAATAGATGATTCCTTTTACAGTTTAGGAGAGTTTGTAAATCCAAAATAAGACAACATTAAATGAATTCTATCATACCTGCTAGTGAGATAGACACAGTCATTTGTAAAGGAATTATAATGTATGTGATTGATATGTTCATAAAGTTCATACTATAGCAATTTGTTGGGAGCGGAGAGGGGGGAAGGAGGAGAGGGCTGAGCACCCACCACGCCAGTATTGGGGGACTCAACCCCTGCGAGTCCTTAGTAGTTGGTGCCTATGCCCTTGAGAGATTATTCAGCATTACTTCCCAGAAGAGAAAAAAAGAATTGTGCAATAATGCCAAATTTATTAAAAATTGTGATATAGAGTTATATTATAGTTTATATTATGCAAAAATGTATCAATTAAATGCCAAAATTAATTAGATATAATATAGCTATGAATATAAATCAATGCTAGTTCAACAGCTGGAAAATCTCAACATCTAAGTGAATCAAGTGAAGACCAACTGTGTAATGTTTTCTAACCAAAAGGATAAAAAGAATTGACTGCTGGGATCTCTTTGATTGGCAAAAAACTACATAAAACCATCACATTCCATAGTGTATCTGGGTATAACTCTGGACCTACACCTCTGTGTAACAACTCACATCCACAAAATGACAAAAATTGGTAAGAAGATGGTCTTACTGTCTGCACCATCTCTTCATATCCTCAGCCCTCTCATTCAGACTCTAGCTACAAGTGCACTAATTCATACTAAGACCAGCACTCCGCTTATGGTGCACCGCTTTTCACACATCTCACCGAAAACACGCTTCGACACCTCCAACAATTTCAAAACACAATACTTAGGAAGATTGTCAGAACAACGGTGTGAAAGAAAGAAAAACCTCCGGCTCTCCACAATATACTGAATATTTCACTGATCCTGGGATTTATCAGGAGGAGGCAAATTAAATTCCTGGACTCACTTAAATAACTCCCTAACACATTATTCTCAACATTATAATTTTACATAAAAACTGAAGTCATTGTTAAAGAGAACAGCAAATTTGTATTATATCATAAAATTAAAACAATAAATAATAATATATAAGTTCAATATTCGGCATTTGACGCTTACAGCAGTCACCATTAAGGTTTGGATAGTTTTTGTTCAAAATAATCAAATTTTCCACAATTTGGAATGTCTTTATTTAGCCAATGAAAGTTATTTTGAATAAAAATAATATTTTAAAAGTTTTTTTTCTTTCATTTGCCTCATATGCTAGGAAATTACATTTATCTGACCCGACACATTATTTATAACAATAAAAATAGATAAAAGCATGCTTATTTTTTGCTATAAATCACTGATGCAGATTATAAATATCCATAAATCAAGTTATACAACCACTAAAACACACACACGATATAACGTATTGTCCATCATATTATTATATCTACCAATCACTTAAACTATAATAGTAATGAAGCACTGCTACAAATTGGCGTTAACTACAAATTTTCTTTGTATCATTATGAACTTTAATGGAAGATCACTATAGAAACAATCGGAGAAAGTAATTTTGAGGACTTGAATGATAAACCAGTAAACATTGAAAAGTAAGAATCTCATGATAATTTAAAAAATATCAATAAATGAAAAATAAACCGTGCTTATTTTACTTACATCTAAACATAAAAAATATTGCTTATTTAATTAAAAATAAAAGAAAAAATAAACTAAAGTTTATACTAAACTACCAAAATAAAGAATACATGCAATCAAAATGATAAAAAGTGGAACCATGCTTAGGTGAATTAATACCAATGTATTAGAATGAAATATGAAATTAGAATAGAAGAAAAATAGTTAAGAAAAAGCCAATTTTCCAAAAAAACATAAACAGCCATAAAATGTTTTTGTTTTCTTTTTGTTTTGTTTTTCATTAAAGTAGTAAGTACCTCTTGAACACCCCAAGAACTGACATCTCTTGAAACTCCTTTTGGGAAATCTCCTTTTTCAGTTTTCTCCCTACGGAACTTCAACCAAGACAAACCCTTTTTTGATTTTCGGTCCTGAAAGGAGTGCTTCTCATGTATTTTGATTTGAGATAGGATTGAAAAAAAAAAGAAAAAAAAAAAAGAGAATTGTGACATGAAAAGGGAAAAGGTATGATTATTTTTAAATATAGGTAATTATCAGATCAATTTACTAATAAAATTAGGGCAACAAACACACTACATGGAGATTATATATGTTTATAAATATGTACATATATGCACCATTAAAGAAAGAATTAACGTTATTTATAGCAAGTAATAAGTTACTGGAAAAAGACAACAATAACATTTTATCAATTTTTGTTTCTTTTCAACAAACTTACGTCAGGAGGCTGCTGCAAATAAACAAGTGACTGGCCACATTCTGATATATGACACTTCCTAAGTTCACCCTCCATGTTAGTAATGGCATTACTTAATTGTGTTTCCAGTTCTGATTCCATTTCCTAAACCATAAAAAGGAAAATAAAAATTAATAATTGTAGAAATTAAAAAAAGGAGAAGGAAAACATCAGTTTATTCATGGTAAAATTGATCATTTTTTAGATAATTTATTTATGTCATCATTTCGCACCCTCAATGCAATACTAAGTTAACTCAAAAATCTTACCTCTGAAAAAATGGAGTTCAAAGATTTTAATTTTATATTAAAACTCATTATTATCCAATTAAACTATTATACCCTGATTTATAATAATGCATTCTTTATTTACATTAGTATAAAATAAAATCAACCATCTTTAATTGAAAATGCATTATTTTTTTTTTTTTAGTTGTGTTACTGTATTGAGGATGGAATTTAATTATTATAAATAAATAATGTAAAAAAAGTATATCTAAGCTATTTTAGAGCATATTATATTATAATTTTCTATATTTATTTTGGGAAATATTCCTTTTTTGGAAGGGCGGAGGAGGGAGAGGGGGATTTCTATGAAAATTTGGTCTTTTGGTAAAAAATAGATGAAAAATAATTAATAAAAGAAAATATATAACTTACGAAGGAATTTGATTTCTCCTTCAGAAGTAAGCAAGCCCCTTCATGAAGCTCTTTTGCACTTTTAACCAATGAAGTTAATAATAAACGCAGCTCAGGCTATAAACGAATAGAATATATATTTTAGATAGTATTATTATGAAAAGATAATATATTTAATAAATTCATTAAATAACCTATGTATTGGCTTTACTCAAGTGAAGTAATTAATTTTAAATTACTTCTTTTGTTTTGAACAAAGATTAATACATCACTGTTACAAATAGCCAACAAATTCTATTTTTTGATTCTTATGCTATAATAATTTATTCATAACATTGACTAGTATATTTTTATTTATATCTATAAAAAGAATTGATGTTACTTTAAAACTTCTTTCTTCTTTTTAGTTTTTATTAACTTTAAATTATCCAGCAAATACCATCACAATTATCAATTATAATAATTACACATAGTACAAGCAAATAAATTATAATAATTAACATTTATAATACTGGGGTAGAATAATATTGAAAGTATATATATTTCTAAAGCAATAAATGAAGTTTTGTTATAAACAATAACAAAAACAAAATTGATAATTCAAATTGTTTAAGTTCTTACTCCTTGTTGTATCTTTCCACTAGGATGAACTTTTTCCAGATTGGATGCTGTCTTATCTGCTAATTCATAAACTTCAGCTTCTATAGAAGGATTTTTAATGATCAGTACTTTAACGCACCTAAAAAGTTAAAAAAAAAAAATGTATTAATAATTAATTTACCGAATAAGCCAATCACTCAAAAAATCCATATTGAGGAAGATATTAAGAATCTTAAATATGAAATAGAAAAAAATATAGTAGGACATGATTATTATTTAGTAAAAAAGTTGATCCAATAATATATATAGTTAGCTTCAGTGGATCCTTAAAACTGAAAATAATAAATGATAACAAAATAGGATTTTGTGTAGTCCTAAATCTTAATGCCATAAAAAAACCCAATAAATTATGCTTGTAAATCTGAGCACAAATCCAACATCTGGCGTCATTGATTTGGGAGGACTTGTCCCATTCATAACTGCTAGCTAAAAGTAGGTTCTTCACAAAGGAGACATAAATAGTGCTCTATAGTACATTCGCTGAATCAATGTCAACATATGGCTCAGAGACCTGGACCTGGCCTGCAAGGGCTGAAGAGGAATGAGGAGAGCCCCGCGATAGCAACCTCGGACAGTTGCACCAATGAAAGCCAGAGAATAGGAATAATAATGTCTCATTCGTAACAACGATAAACCAATGATTCAATGAAAGTACTAGAATTAATATTAATTTGTAACACCAATAATTTATTTCTCAAACATTATATTTCCTCTGTAGGGATGAAGGGAGCAACTTGCCCCGGTCCCCCAATTCTTTAGGTTAAATTTTTATTTGTTTTTCAAGAAATATTTTTAACACTTCAAAGAGAACAACAAATAACAATAACTTTATAATGGATGAGGAGGAAACAAAAAGTAGAAGGTTTTAGGAGAAATGTATTATCACACTTAATAAATGCCTGAGAAGTTAAGTGAAATAAGGGACCTTTTGCTAGAAGCATTGGTTATAACATGATTTACTAGCATGGGGATCCATTGCAAATATGTTACATCATAACCCTCCTCCTGGCCAACATCAAATAAGGAAACCAGTCTTTTCTTAACTTCCTAAACAATCATGATCATCAGCAGCTTCATCCCAGGCCTCAGTATTCCTACTACACCACCCATTTTTCTTTTATCATAATTCACCACTCCATTTTATACAATTTAATTCAATCTGAATTTGTAATTATTTCAAAAATTTAAGTTCTATAAAAATAAACAATTTTGTAGTTACTCAAAGAAAGTTCTCAAATAACTCTGACAACTTCAATATTTATAGAGACAATTAAAACAGGGTTGCCCAACTCAACCATAATGTGTCACACTGAGGATTCAGAACTGGCAAGCAGCTGGCCTGTAGGTTTTGAATTTCTTTTTCTTTTCTTAATAATGTTATTTCTTTCAATGCAAGTATCTACTAATTGGTAATTTTTGCTTCTCATTAATCTAGAAGAGTTATCATAGATTATTTTTTACTGAGTGATGATATCCAATCATAGGGTTTTTTTGGGGACAGTGAGAAGAGAAAAGAAGCTAATCGATTGTCCATTGGTTCATCCATAAAAAATCTGGATGTTCTTTTTGATTCTTGCAGGCCTTAATAACAAAAACAAATTGAAAAATATATTTTTAATAATTTCATTAGAATAAAAAAAAAATTAAGGATTAAGAGGAATGGAATTGTGGTTTGATAAGACACTTCTTGCGCCTACTTAAACTTAAAAATAAATACTAGACACCAGTCAAGCATTAAACATGTTGTTGGAGTATAGTGATTTTTAAATATATTGCCATATACTACATATGTTTAGATATTTAGTGATTTAGGTTTCATTTCCACATTTCACACTAAAATCAGAATGTACCAATTATTATATTAGTGTTTTAATTTTATATGGAAGAATTTTCATAATTTATTTTATCTCCTGATTTCATCTGATCTCATTCCAATATTATTCTTAGCTATGCTAGATAGTTATGCAAAAGAATAATAATATTTGTAACAAATCCATAATTAAACTCACAAGACTTGACAAAGATGTTAATTTAGGCAAACAATTAATGGATATCTCTTAAAACTAGATAAATAAAGATTGTTTGATAAATAAATATATTTTGGGTTTATTGCAAAAAGTCATTACGTGACATTTCAGAACCTTAAATAATTAGGAACTTTGAAGAATTTTCCCTTCATGAAATAAGAAAATTGTGTGCTTGTTGTAACTATATTTGATATATAACAGGATTGTGTCATTTTCATGAACCTAAAGTGTTTTAGTATCAATAAAGTCAAAATTCACAAAAACATATTTGAAGTTAAGTTGAAAGTTAAATCTATATAAAAAATGCTCATAGTGACTTTTTGCAATAAATCAATTGTATAAAAGGTTTCTATAGATGTAAAGTTCAATGAAAGTATGTACAATTTATTTTTAATAAATAACAAAATCTAATATTCCATCAAGTTATAAATGATATTCAAATATAATTGTCATCCATAAAGAAAAGAACATCTCCTCAATTTAAAATTAAAATTCCATCAACAATCCATATCTGTAAAACAAAAACTACATTAACAGAAATAATTATACACTTATAAGAAAAAAAGCTACAATTTGCAACATTACTATGAAAACAATGTTCCTGTGTCATTTCATTAGTTGTTCTGAGCTTAATTGACTTAATTATTCCATTAAAATGAAAGTATACAGAGGAAAGCACTTGTAAAGAATATTTTATGATATAACTTAAAAAGCAACTTGATGTTATATCACTATTGTTGGTTATTTTTTACATAGATCATTCTGAGACTTACACCAGTTGTCCCAATAGAAAAAACAAAATTCTGAATTAAAAAAGAAAGAAAAACCTTATTTTGTAAAAAATGATGAATTATTTTGTTTTGGCCAACCACCGATGATATGAAAACAATATTATGATTTTTTTTTTTTTTTTTTTAATAAATAATTCAGACCTTACTTAATAATTAATTTTTTTCACAGTTACTAGTTACAACTTACAATTACTAGTAATTACCTACTTCAGTATTGTACTCTAGCTCTATCCTATGGATTTAAAATTAATTTCACAAGCAGAAAACTTGCATTCACGATTAACAACAAAAGTAATATTTTGAAAATTCATACTTACTTTACTAATGTAGTTGTAGCCTCAATAAATGAAATCAACATTTGCATTTCACTTTGAGATAAAGAATGGGGTAAAGGTGCCCTAAGTTTGCCCTTTCCTTGCTTTTCCTGCCATGATTTCAAGCTTGTCTCTAGAGCCTGTGAAACATTTACAGTACACTTTAAATCATGGAAAATAAAAAAAAAAATCACTTCTTTTTAAATTGCTTTTTGTAGTAGCATAATGTTTAGATATACAATACATAATATGTTGCACATGTTTACATCATACAACAATATAAAGGATTTATGATATTAATACAGCTGTACCAGGTGAATCAATATGTAACACTTTAGTTCAATGTGGAGTCTGAGAGGAACGTGAATATTTTTGTATATTCGTTTATTGTAATATTTCTATTATATCAAGCTACAAACCATTGAATACTATATAAAGGGTATCATTTACTTAATAATGGACAACATCAAGGCACATTGATGTTTAGTAAGATGTTTTATAAGGCTCGTTAATAAAAAATGTTTTTTACCTTTCTATGGCTGGCTCTGAATACTTATCACTGACAACCTTGATTGCTGCGAAACATCCAATTGTTTTTTATATTATTATTTCTTTTTAATCAGCTAAAGGCTTACTTAACTGAATTCTTTTACATTTAACTGTGCCATTTAAAAAGGAGTACAAAAATTCACAATAAAAGTATCTGCATTGAAATAATAGTGAACTGAAGGTCCTTAATAAAATAACGTCTATATAATTTTTTATTTTTCCCAATTAAAAATGTCCTATTTTATAAATTTATTCTTTTGCATGGATATTTAATAATTATATAATATTTTAAAATGAATAATTTTATAGCTTATATAAAAAGAATTTAAAAACGATTCTAACCCTGTTTCTGCAAAGCATCCTCATTCTATTCTTGTGAATTATTCTGATCATGCCAGGAGGTTGGACCCAGGCCTCTCCATCAACTTGAATAGGGACACCTTCATCACCTATTATATTATATCAGATTAGTATTATATTATAAAAAAAACAAAATATGAAGTATGTAAAAAAAAAAAAAATCATAAATAAATATCTAACTGATATTTCTTTGAGTAAAAATAGTATAAAATCAATAACCTGTAATATTAATTTGCACAGTATGACATTGAGCTATCCTGTGGTGTTGAAGGTTTATTAATCTCGAAGCTGCCATTTGTACTGAACCGAAAACAGCTACAACTTCAAGAACTTGATCGTCGACACTAGGAGCCAAAAACACTTCACCTTCTTTTGTACCACCCCAAAAATTAGTTCCTCCCATAAAACTGTTCACGGAAAAAAAACAACACTTTATATTTCTTTTGAAGTGGTAATATTGAAATTTTACTATAAACATAGGCAACCATACCTGGGTATATTTAAAATTACAATCCCTTGTAAAGAAGGTAGAGGAATCCTTTGTCCATCACATTCCAATTGTACACGTTGTTCCAAGTTTTTGTAGGTTTTCTGAAAAGAAAAATTTTATTGAATATTTACATATACTAACTGATCTCAGAAGAGATTTTTACCTTTTTTTTGTTAATGATTAATGATCACAACACTTTAGAAATGGTACTAAGAACCATTTTACAATTTTTTTATATTACTCACTGATGGATGATTCAAGGTGCAATAAGTTAAAAATAAATTAAAATTTCAAACCACATTTTGAGTTAGACAGAAAATAAAACACATTTCAAAGTTACGATAGACTTACTCAAAATTTAATTTAATCCAAAATAAACAAGATCTAGTCAAAATTTAGAATCTGTCTGACTCATCATAACCAAATAGTTCTTTTATCTATACTTTAAATTAAGCGAAAATGTAAAGGATTTCATCCTTCATATTAATCAATTGAAAAGCTTTATTTTTAAAATTTCTAAATTATTCATTTCTGCTGATTCGAATATTTTGTAGTAGTACTGTGTGGATAATTAATATTGGAATTAATTGTGTTTGCATCTTACTCAATATAATCAATGATAAGAATGATGATTTTCTTTTTTCAAGAACTTTTTAAAGAAAAAATAAAAATTTTATTTTCAGTAATTAAATAGAAGTAATTAAGCTCTTGTTATTTTAAATAGACTATTGAATGCTTAAAGATGCAGTATATTTCATAGAGATATATTAGTACAAAAATATATTTATTTCATCAAGGAAGTAAGCATAAAACAGAAGAAAGTAAATAACCGGAACAAAAAGTGCACATTGTAAAATTTTTGCAAGAAGAAAAAAGGTTAACATTATAAAAAAAAATTGATTTTTTTACATTAAAGACATTACCTGAAGCCATTCTTTGCTTCCCAAAACACCATACCACATATAATTTTTTGCACGAGATCTGCATTTTTCAGGGTGTTCTTCTCGTTTTTGATGAAAATCTAATGTGATCTTAGCATCTATGCCAATTCCAAAGTAGTTATTCATAACACATTTTTCTCTAAACCCTTCACTAGAAAAATAAAAAATAAACGATTATCAATACAATTCTTAATAACTTTTCAATGAGTTAGCTAATTCTGATGAAATTTGAACGTATGTTTCTCATAGGTCTACTGCAAATTCTTCAAGTGTAAATAAACCCCTTTCTCTACAATAACTAACTATTTTATTAATACAATTTTTAAACAATCTGCATCAAGGTACCTAGTCTCAACTAGGGTGGATAAGATGGGGTTTATTTTAACTAAATAAATAAATTTATTCTCCCAAAAAAAAGGTTGTTCGGAAAATAATACAGGATTTTGAGTTTTCTTTAAAATACCCCTCTATATAACGAACTGTTAACATTTACTGGATTATTCATTTATATGAATGTCAACACTTATTAATCCTCTTCCAAATGATAATGTTTGTTTACCTCTGTAGCGTTTTCCTGCTTAGAAATAATTCAGTCTTTACTAAGATGTTGTGGAAGGGCTTCCTCTCTTGACGACGATGTTCTGTGGGTTTTGGTAGAAGAAAACCCCAGAAAAACTGTTGAGAACTTACAGGGAAACTTAACCTTAGCAAATCGGCCGTCAATGATCACCTCAAGGCGACTGGAATGGTTGAAAGTTGGGTTCCACACAAATTAAACGACTGCCAAAAAAATCAGAGTAATGAAGTTTGTGCTAGACTTCTATGCCGAAACAAAAACAACCCTTTTCTGTCGAGAATTGTTACTTGGGATGAAAAGTGGATACTTTACTATAAAAGTAGACATTCTGGACAGTGGCTCGACAAAGGAGTACAGCAGAACATTTTCTAAAGCCACCAACTCATGAAAAAAGGTAATGGTTACTGTTTGGTGCACTTCATTTGGTTTGATACACTACAGCTTCTTAAATCCTGGAGAAACCATTAATGCCGAATCGTATTCTAACCAAATTAATGCAATGCATCAGAAATTGGCAATAATGAAGCTCCCTTTGGTTAAACGGAAGAGGACCATTTTGTTACATGGCAATCCCCGGCCACATGTCTCACGTATGACATCAAAAAAACTAGTGGAGTAGGATATGAAATTTTGCCACACCCACCCTACTCTCTGGACCTCTTGCCTACGGATTGTTATTTTTTTAGACACCTGGACCACTACTTATGTGATAAAACATTAACGGGAACTATAAAATGTGTTTTTGGAGTTTATCAATTTAAAAGATGGGAAATTCTTACCCAAGGGAATGAAAAAGTTGCCAACACTTTTGCAGAAATGTATTGATTGTAGTGGAGACTATTTTGATTAAATAAAACAGTTGTAAACCTTTCTTCTTTTTTTTTTAAACCAAAGTCCTGCATTATTTTGCTGACAACACAAATAATCATACTCACAGCAAAGTTTCTTGAGGATCCATTAAAGGTACTGCTGCAGCACATAAAGCATCAGCGTTTGCAAGAAGAACTTTACTTACAAGCCCTGGACCAGAAATATCTAAAACATTAGATACAATCAAAATCATACTATAGAAAAGAAACAACAGAATTAGTGTTTATTAAATATGATATTAGCTTCAAAGAATAAGTAAAAAAATGCTTACTTGGCCAAGTTGGAAGTCTAACCAAAGGATTAATAATTGGTAGTTTTTTTTCCACTATTGGTTTCACTGTGTCTGGAGAATCTGACTTAATCATCGAGCAGGGAGATGCTGCGGACACTGAAAGCATTCGCTATCTAGATTAAGAAAATATTCAATAAACTAAAATAAAAAAAATATCGGTTTACTAACATTTTCTACAACAGTCATAACTGAATCTTCTAGTGGGTGTGTCCTCACCAGACGGTGACGGTGGTTCTATAATTACTCTGGGGTTTGTCGATTGACCTTCCATGGTTTCACTTCTAGTTAGACCATGAAACCTAAAAGTAAAGTTGGTCCTCTAAGTGTGCTCTCGGCTAAACATCAGGCATTAAGCTAGGGCTGCTAAAGTAGCACAAAAACAAAAAAAAGATAGAAAGAAGAAAAAAAAACAAGCATTTATGCAAAAACACAAATCTAATACAAAAATAAAAAAATATTAATGTATCATGACTTAGGCAGGCAAAAAAGTGCAGCATTCAGAGCCTTTTATCTAATAGCAATGTGCTTTAAACTAGACAAATAAAAAATATTAAAAAATGTAACAAGAGTGGGATTAGTGACATTTATATTATAAAGATAAATCAAAGTTGTATTCTGAAAGCGAAATTATTCAATATTTGAAAACTATGATGGAGTAATGAAAGCTTAATTGATTTGGAAGCTGATGAATTGTTAGTTTAAGAACAAATGTTTGAAGAACTTTTTATACTAAATTAAAAGTAAAAACATATTTCTAAAATAATCAAACTAATGGCAAGTTTAGTAGGGAATATCCACAGTAAATGTATACTACATAAAGTATATTATATACTACGTTCCCATTTTAAAAATCCAACTGCTAATTAAATAATACACACATAAATGGTAATGTTACCATGATGATTCTTTATATAATAAATAGATTGAAAATGGAAAAAATAAATAAAAATAAACTCTTCAGCCTGTAATGTGACAAAATTTTCTAAGTAACAAAAAATTAAAATTTACTCAGGAATTCAAAATGGATAGAATATAATATATTTTTTAAATAATGTCAGTATGTTTAAAGGTTATCATTCTTCTATATAAATTCATCCAAATACAGTATAATAGAAAGCAAGACTTCCAATAAATGACACAAAAAATAGTGATTTACTTTCTGTTCTCTTCAACATTAGCTGTTAGCAACATAAAATCTTTATGGTATAGTTGTATCAAAAGAATATCACTCACGGCCTTGAGAGAGAGAATTTGACATATTTATTTTATTTTTTCCAATATCAATTCAAGATTAAAAGTAAGACTTAGAATAAAAAATTCAATTACTGCCAGGTTATACTGGCAAAGAGTGAATAAATTCGCTTAGAGAATACAGCTAATCTGTAAAAGTTTTCACCATCATTCATTATTTTTTTCATTTATACACATAGCCACAAATACACATAGGATATAAGAAAAAATAAATAAAAAATTGAAATGAGCAAATTTAAAAATAAATATTGCAATAAAAGCTATTAATTAAATAATTTGAAAATATCATTCTTAACCATTCTACAGTGAGTGAAATGTTTTGAAATACTGTGAGGCCAACTAAGAGGAAGATATTAACTGTTTAATAACAAATAAATAATGTAAATATAAGCAGTAATTACGGAGTGATCCGGCGTGCTATAAGATAGTTACTTGAGACAATATGGCAAAGTTGACAACAAAAACAGCTAGTTATACAACAAAGGCTAAGACACTATACCATGTGTACCTCACTAGTTCTTCATCGTCAGTTTCTGAAAGGGCCAAACTTTTTCTGTGCCTATCTTGATGGTACTCTGTTAGATACATTCCATCTGTGCTTCCTCGTAGATTATTATTGGAACCCTGTATTCTTAGCTCAACAACATCCAAGTAGGCAGAAGATGTAGATTCTCCTCGGGAACGTTCAGAAAGTGTGTAATCATTATCTGATGAAGATATTTGAATTGTTGGAATTTGAACTAAATCTTTCGCAGCTTCGGTTAAGTCAAGATCATCTAATGAAGCTAATTTTTTATGCCTGCATTTAATGGATCGCCTAGCAATATCATTCCCTTCAATAAAATGGGCAATACTACACTTCTTCACATTATCTAAGCCTAATTCTCTACTGAAATCATCGTAATCATCATCGTCATCCGGACTGGTAGATATAAGATTTGTTGCATCAATATTTTCATAAGAACCTGATTTAGATTTTAATGATTGTCTATTTTTTCTTGAAAGAGTTCTGAAAATTCTCAATTCCTTCTTTTCAGATTCATTGGAACCTTCTGGACTATCATCTGAAGCTTCTGATGAATCAATGTGGCAAATATTTGCTAATTCTTTACTTGATTTAAAGCCAGATAGGATTCCATAGGTTTCTGCGTCAAACCTTTCCTCTGAATCAAGGGGAGAAGGTTCAAAATACATTTCATCATTTTCAAAAACCTCCCCCTTTTCCAAATCTTCAATCATTTCCTTTCTAAGTTCAACATCAACGACTACTTCTATAGTTTCACCTTGTACAAAATCTTCACAAGGTGGGACTCTGAAATATAAAATTAATTATCTATGAACGGGTTATTTCATGCTAAACTATATTTTTTGATAAATGCAATATTTTTCAATCATGGATAAATATGATGAAAAAAGAAAACCACTTTGCTCAGCGAGTGATTACTGTTTCATTCCTATATAAATTACAAGTCCAATAATAATTTTAATTTTTAATAACTGATACAAGATTAAGTTCATGAGTATATTTTAAATAACTCATTTAAACCTAACACTAATATTTCTGCACCTTGTGAACAAAAAGGTTCAATGACTAAAACTTTAAGATTTGAATGAACTACATGAAAAAAAAATAAATTGTTAGGATCTACGATGGTAGAACATGTTAAAAGGAGAATTTTTTTTTTTTTTTTTTTTTTTTTTTTAGCAATTAATCTATACCGTATCATTTCTTTAGTACAGTTCTTTCAAATTTCGAAATTTTAGACATTAGTCCAAATTTATTTTGAAGTACAGACTTATCATTTTTATAATTTTAGCAAGTTGAACTGCAATATGTGTAATCTTATCACAGTAAATATTAAAATATAATAAGGAAGTCTTATAATATATTCAAAATCTGTCTTTTGCTGGCAGCACTCTTAAACAAATAGGTTTAAAATAACAATTCCATGAGATCATAATCTATTACAATACTGCATGAAATGCTTACGGCGAACTTATACGTGATGCTGATGATCTTCGTGAATCAGCGAATTGGGTAGGAACAGGAAGGTCAAGAGTCAAAACATCACTTGTTGAGCAGTTTGAGTCCCTTCGAAGGGTTGGCAATGGACTGATTAACTCTGCACGGTCATTTTGCTAATGCGATTTCAATATCAAAGAATTAGTACGAATAATCATGATTCAATTCATAAAATAAATAATTTTGGTTTAATAAAAATAACAGAGTAAGTATCTATTAAAAATTAAATGAATTACCTTATAAGGCTGTGGATCAAGGGAATCTATAATGATGGTATCTGCTTCCCTCGGTATATTCTGTTCATCTATCACCTTTTCCGAATGTTCAATTAATTGCCTCACTGCTCGTTTGAGACTATTTGCACGCATCTTTAATTTTTCCTGTGTCGTCAGCTAATAAGATAATATTTTATCAATCACTATGTTATGAGTCATTGCATCAATAAATGTAATATAATCTCTAAAGTCTTTACCTTTAAATGATCAAGTTTATTTTTGTCTTCAATACTTGGAAACTGTTTTTCATCTTTTTCTGATTTCTCTAAACTATGTTTTTCAAAACCATCCTCCTCCTAAATTTAGCAAAAATATAAGTCAGTTTTGAGTTTTAAATATTACCAAATGTTGCCACTGGTAGAATATGATATAATAATTACATTCAAATATATAATCACCAATGGAAGACTTGTAGATAAAGCATCAAATATAATTGATGTTTGATCTATAAACCTTCCAAAGTTATAAGACCACTAGTAAACAGAGTGATATTAATAATAAATTATGACTTATTAGAACAGTTTCTCACCAATTCTAATCCTTCTTCATGTAAAGTATTAAGCAGCTGATCAAGCTTCTCCCTGATTACTATACATTTTTTATTTAACTCATCATCTCCTTGACTTAAGGATATTTCAACTGCCCGAGTGATGAATTGTTTGACAGTTTCACATAGCACTCTAATATTTAAAAGGTAGAAAACAATATGAGCACTTTGTTTTTATTAAAAAAAAAAAAAAGTATGTTGATAGCTCAGAAGTGATATCAGATAACGCATAACAGTAGATGAACAAAAATAATCTTCCTATTTGGAATATTAACTACATCATTTACTATTGATCAATAAAAACGTTATTTTTATATGCTTTTTAGTAATGAAAGATATCCAAAAATGCAGATAATGTTTAGACAAATTGCATTTTAGAATGTTTTTTGATTTCTACTGAAAAGTAGCCACTTTTCATATAAAAAACAACACTTCTTAGCCATATATATATATACATGTATAATAATAATAATAATACAAACTTTGCAGAAGCTATAATAGATGGATGTTCATTTGATTCAAGAATATTACTAAGATGGAAGACAACACTATTCTCACAGGCTGCCATTGCAGGAAGGAAACTGCTAAATGAGGATTTTTCCTCATTGGGCAAAGATAACGATCTTTCAAAAGTCATTATGCTCCACCTGCAAAATTTATAGTTTCATTGTTCTAAATTATATTAATATAGCAAATTTCTATCTGATTAATGAATAACTTTCAAAGAATGTTTTTTTATTAATGATAGTTTCTAGCCTAATTCAGTAAGTGTATTTTTATAAATTACAATTTTTTTAAAAAAAAATAGTGTATTTTAAGAAAAATAGGTATTAGTAAGTAAATTATACCTGTCAAGCATTTTCGTCGTTGCTTTTTCATATTTATCCAAAAGATGAGAAAGGTTGGCATCATCATCACAAGAAGCTCCCCAACCAAGAACTCTAGCCAAATCATTGCCAGTTCCAAGAGGCAAAACACCAACTTGGCATTGATTCTGGAATAATAAAAAGTAAAAACGTTTAATAAAAAGACAGATAATAATACATACCTGAAATTAAATTGAATTTATCTATGGTAATATAAAAAAGTAAAGTTTGTGTTAATGTGCTAATCTCAGAAACTACAAGTTTGATTTGAAAAAATGTTTTTTCATAAAACAGACTGTTCATTGAAGAATGAGAAAAAGGTAATTTAAAGGAAAAAATATATTCATGAATATAATAACTAAAATATATTGGTTAGATAATGATAAAAAAAATAAATACTTACAGTTATATTTATCTTATCTATTTCTGATAGGACCCAACCAACGGAACCATCTCCACTACAAACTAATACGCGAAATGGATCAAATCTCCTAAATAGTTTCAGGCTGAAATAGAAAAAATCTATTCAATTACTACTGTTAAAAAGTGCATATATGAAGTTTAAATTTAACCATTATAATATAAAATATATCCAACCCCAAAAATGGTCCAGAAGGAATGAGATCAAAAACTTGTGCGGGGTTCAGGAGTTGCTTAAAACGCTTCAGAAATTTCACACCCTGGTTATCTCCTGACTTGGAGTTGACAAAGACAAGGAGGGGGGAGCACCCTTGCGGGCGCACAGCTTCCCAAGCTTCGTCGGAACCTAAATAATGCATCAAAACAACCAAAGTTGCTTCATTTTAAAAACACTAAATAACACACATAGCATTGCTGTAAAAGAACATGTATACAAGACAGTGCAAATTTAGTTATCACTCAAATACTAAAATGAATTAGGCAGGCATCAAACTTTGTAAATGAAATGTGATAATAAATTATTATTATTATATAAATAAAATTGATGGTTGATTTAGTAAACCAAGTTTTAACTAAACATAAGCGCTGGCACTCAGAAAATATTTGGGGAGGGGTAAAGATTATCCATCAGTTTATTACCTGTAATATAATATAACTAATACTTCAGTGGTTCATTGAACTTGATATGAATTATAATTGCAAAATTTTATGAATTATAAGATAATAACTGCGTAATCTTGGAGGAGCTAGTCCATCTTCATAAAATATGGGAGAGGGAGCAAAAAGTGCCTCGCTCCCATGGTGCCAGCGCCTATTTAACTAACTTCATGCCATGATTTCAAAAGACTGTGATATTATAATAATAGCAAACATTTAAAGGAATAGGTTTTCAAAATAACAAAACCTGGGATTATTCAATACATAAAAATGAGTGAAACAGCCACAGTACCCGGTATTGTGCAGGTGTTGTTTTTTTAATAACTGTTTTGAGGTTAATCTAAATAAGTTATGAAATTAGCATATCTCAATTCATTCTAATTTAGAAATTTGCTAAGTCTGATGTTAACATTTTTTTTTTTTAAACACTTGTATTATAAATCTGAAATGTTATTCAAACTAAATTAATTACATGCATTATTTAAAAAAATGAGTGCAACAGATAAAATTTTGTGATTTCCAGTTTATTATGAACAAGTAACACTAATTTCTAAATTAATAAAGAAAAAAAGGAATGAATTGGGGGAGGGGTGGAATTGTGAAAGAATTAAGCATTATCAGAGTAACTCAGAAGCCAATATAATTAATTCCGGGGAAATTAATGTTTTTATACATTGATTTTTAAAAGTTTTTTCATTATTTGATAAAAAAACAAAATAAAGCATTTTTCGAAAGGGAAGGACTCCACAAAATAACAAGGTACATACAGGTTATAGAAATAAAATTATATGTATTTATTGGCGGAATGGGGACACTTTAAAAATTTTATGACTTACACGTACTGGCAGCTAAAAATATAATAGATTGATGTGATATTTTTGTTTAAAATTTTTCAAATGAAATATATAAAACTGATTAAATTAAAAATTTATGTTATCTCCAAATCAGTAACTTAAATAGTTCTAAATACCTGATGTAAAGTTTTAGACTAGATGAAAAATATACATACTACAGATTACATCCAATGATTAACTATTTGTCTATGGTTGTTAACCATTTCTTGCTTTTTAGGATAACAAATGAAATGATTGACTTTTAGGTAGAAGCTAATGTAAACAACTATTATAAAAAACTAATATATAGCAAACATGAATTTACATTAATTATCAAATTTAAGTAATTTCTGTGTGAAATACAGAAAGTAAACCGATCTATTGTCAGAAGATTCTTGAATTCATTCGGATGTGACAGATCACTACTACACCAAGTTTCAATATCTATAAATATCAACTTCACCAAGAACCCATCAATGTATTTATGTATATGCAAGTATAATCGGTCCTTTAGAACGGACAGGGTTATTTCCAGAGTCAAGTTAAAAAAAAAAAAAAATTAAATTGTCTTTAATCCTGAGATGATCTAAGTATACAGTAAACTGTAGTAAAGTAATGTTGGATTTGAATAAGATCAGTACAGATTTGATAAAAAACATATCTCCATTTTAATTACGTACAAATGATTATACACAGAAAAACAGTAATAAGCAAGAATATTCTATATTCTAAATAAAATTTATAATTATAAATATATAATGCACATAGCTGTATTACATTTACCGACAGAATGAAGAGCTGTAGGAGGTACAATGCTAACCCTGTTTGGTCCCAGATCACAGCGAACAGGATATAGAGGTCGACATGCTGTATGAACAGTGGCCCTGCACCAAAGGCATCTCCAATCCTGAAGCCTAAGGGAAAAGCATCGGTTCACATAAAATGAAAGCTAGAGATTTATATAAACTTAAACAATAGTTTTAGAGAGTTAAGAGTTTATCAACTACTAAGTTTAATATACAAGACATGACTAACTCATTGAATTAATTATATGAAATATAAAGAAGGACTATCATTAAAAAAAAAATAAGAAAATTTAAATTTAAACAGGTTTTCCTTAAAAATAAAAGCATTGGTACATGATATTTATATATCAATTAACTGTGAAATTTTATGTTGAGTGTGTTTGTTATTTTCAATATAATGTAAAACAAATATTTTAGACTGGTTTAAATGTTTTCTATGTTGAATCTAACTTAGAAACAATTTCAACAGAGGTAAAAGAAAAAAAGTTATGTCTATATTAAAACTTATGAAATTGGAGACAATGACGACACTTTTTTTTATAAGTTATTTTTTTCAATTCAGGAAAACTAAAACAGGTAAAATTAGGGGAGATCTTGAAAAAAAAATTTTGAACGACTACCACAATTTCACTACCTTAGAAAGATCAAGAAGTAAAAAGTATGAACTAAATGTATATTTTTATGTAAACATAAAAGGAATAAGTTGTATAAATGAAGAAATACTAAATCATATATTGTTTTACAGTATACACAATATTCAATAAACATAAACATGCTTTTAACTATTATCATTACCTGAGGACAGAGCCACAGTTTTTTTCACAAACTGCACATTTTGAAGAAACTGGTAAGTTTCCTTCCATCCATTGATGTGACATATAAATATTCTGAAAATATTAAATAAAATCAAAATATGACATTTTGAGAATAAAATTGATAACCACAGTATATAATAGGTATTGTAAAGTTTTCTAAAGAAAATTTGAACTTATTACTTTAGTAATTCATTTTATAAATGAAATAGCATCAGCTAAATCTTACAAAGATCTGAGCCAACCTAAATAATCTTCCACTCTGGTTTATTCATATGGAGTCTTCATAATCCAATCCTCCGTTATCTTCAAAATCTCCATATTTTCCACCCAACAAATATTCTATAATTAGTTTACATCCATTAAAAAAAAAATGTTTTTCAAAATTTGTATCCTTATAGGCTTATATAATGGTGGAAAAAATGGAGTTGTAAACACACACCTAAGCAAGAAAAAATATGAAGAAGCTTTTAGCTAGAAACCTCTGAGTTCACAAGTTATAAATCAATCTATAAATTTTGCAAAGATTATAGCAAGAGCAGAAACAATTACTATAAGGGAATAGTTATAAGTGAATTATTTCTTAGTTTGTCTTCAAACTAAAATTAGATAGGATTTATCTATTATAAATTAAATAGTACATCTATCTCGAAAGCTTTTCCTCTGGAAAAGAAATGCGAGTTTATATACAATTTATTGTATTTAAAGTATCGATTAAATAGAAATTTCTTTTTTTGTGAACTAATCCATTAAGGTGAATCAACAGATCAATAATATAAAATAATTATGCAGGACGTATGTCATTATGTGTACCTACTCCATCTTTATCTTCTATTATTTCTTTCCTGACACTAGCTAGGGTCGTCCATTTGCAGTTGTTGATTGCCTTTGAAGCGCATCTCTTATGAACTTTCCACTTACAGATTTCACAGCTTAGACCATGAGATGTAACACCTGAAACATTGATTGCTAACAATTCTATCTTGATATGACTGTGAATGAATCCTGATCAGAGCAAACAGGAAAGCAGTTACTCACCAGATAGTGCATCTCTGCAAACATTGCAATACGTAGGACGAGCATGAGAAGTGGCTTGCCAATGATGTCTGCCACTAAGAAGATCATGAAGTTCTATTGTTGTCTTTGACTGTTAACATAAGTAATCAAAACATTACTTCACGTAAATAAGATATTAAGATTATTTACAAACAACTTTTTTCTCTTTCATAAATTCGCCCTTAAACCTCAAAATTCCTTCACGTGAAATGCTAATTCACAAGTAGACTAATTAATTTTATTATACAATAATATATAATCTACACTACCACAGATAATGGTGATGCATCTGCATAATGTATCATTAACATATTTATAAATGTTATATATATATATATATATATATATATATATATATATATATATATATATATATATATATATATATATATATATTTGAGGTTGTGTAATTAAATAGAGAGTTAAACTTCAATTAGAAACAAATATAATAAGTAGGTCTTTTTTTTTTTTTAATGCTCTAAAACAAAGGCTTCATAAACCAAAAATTAGACGCCTACATTATCAGTTAAATGAAATGCAGCAGAAGACAAATCATTTGCTAAAATTTTTATTTGAGGATATGGAGAGTAAAATTTTAACCTTGATTGGCCAAATTGTTAAGTTAGTTTCTAAACATGACTTCAGCTTTGAAATATAATATACACTATCCAGAGGTGCCCATCCCCCAAGGTCGATGGTGCAAGAACCAATTCCTCATTCCCAAGATATTTTATTGCTCACTTTTTCTTTAAAACAGAGCAAGTGAAGGTATAATTAGAAAAATTGTAAATCATATACAATTACACTTTCTGCAGTCTTTTGCATGTATTTCCCTTACCCCTTAATATGGAACTTTTCACTCAGAAAATTTATAACCCCACAGAAATGTGGCTCCTCAAATATTTTGATGGTGTAATTTGAGTCATCAAACCTTTTTCTGGGCATCTCTGATACTACATACTTACATTGAGATAAGTATATTAATAAATTATGCTATTAGGGAAATATTTTTATGTTGTTACTACATTTTATATAAGATGAAGTAAAAGGATTATATATTACTATCATGAAAACAAGAATATGTAAAAAAAATCAGCGTTTAGGGAACGTCTTCAACCAACTTCCTTTATAAATGCACATGTGAGGGGTTTAAAATCATAAAACAAATTAACTGAAAAACAAATAAAATTGGCAGATTTTCACATTTCAGTTTCCTTTTTTTGAATTTTCCAAATTTAAAATATTTAGAACATGGATTTCACGATATAGATACTAATCGCTGATAGTGATAATAATTTTAAAACAACGGGAATATATAGCTTTAAACTGAATTGATTCTTTATAGGCTTCTTTAAATTAAAAGAAGTTTGGATGAGAACTAGGCCAACACAAGTAAATCTAATATGGCCCTAATTAAACATGCTGCCTCAATAATTTATATGTAATAAACTAGCAAAGTAAATATTTTCGTTCACAAAATTTCCTAAACAAAATTAATTACTAATAGAAAACGCTTACTGAAGAATAAATAATATTTATTAATACATGAGATTTTTATTTTAACAAATTCATAATCTATTATAATAACCAAAGTAGTCCATTATACCATTAATAAAAATATTCTCATAACTGAAAAAAAATAATTACTAGCATATGAACTACTTTAAGTTAGATTAATGAAAATTTATAGGTACCGGCTGCCGTTCCCTGCTAGTGGTGGCTCCTTTCGAAGCAACAATCCAATCCTCCATTAGATGAGAACTAATTCATCTAGATGAAAAAATATTATGTTACTGATAGAATGATATCAGGCCTTCTGTTCTAAATAAAGGTACAAACAGCTAATATGTTATAAATTATTCTTATCAGTAATGATTTACAACTTCAGCTATAAAACATCATTTTAGTTAAGTCTTTAATAAAAAGTATTAAGATTATTAAACAATTTTTTTTTTTTGTCTTTATTTATAAACAAGATCATATATCTGGCCTTGGAACACATTCAGCTTTCACAAGTCAGGGTAAAAAAAACAAAACATACAAATAACAACAGACATAAGTTAATATGATTTTAAGAATATGGTATTAAAAACATAATTTTTTATTAGAAAAAATCTTTTTTAAAAAACATTTCTGACAATGAATTTATTACAAAATAATTAATTAGAATAGTAAGAAAGTATTTTTCTACTTGTGAAAAGTTAAAGATAATAAAATACTCATAATTAAAATTGAACTTTAACATAATTAATAATTCAAAGAATATTACTTAAGGTATTCAGATAAAAATTTATCATGCAATATAAAAAGAGAAAAATAGTTCTAGCTACACATCAAGCAAAAATTACAGAATGAAAAACAAAATGATAGAAGGAAAGAGAAAGGAGACATTAACTGTAGGTTAAAAATAAAAGAGAAAAACTTCCAAATATGTAACTGATATTTTATTTGTTAAATACATATAAAGCAATTCAAACAAAATGTTAGTGTAGTATAATAAAACAATCAGTCCGTTAACATTATAAAAATATACAATAATGTGTAATATACAAGAAATATCCTTGTTCAACAAACTGATTTTAATCAATAAAAACAAAAAAAATTAAACATTATGCTGTTAAAAAAAATATAAAAAACAACATTATTCTTTATTGTTGATGCAGTGATTTTGTAGAATTAGTATGACCAAGTGTGGAAAGAGTAACCTAAATCATTTGTGAAGACAAGGAAGGACAGAGAGTAAAGTTGGAATAATTAAGAAGTTGCATTTTTATTAATATAGAAAAGCTGCATAGAATATGATAACATAATATAAGATGGAATTGCATAGTTGTTTATATACAAATCGAGCAATGGGAATAGATCAAACTGGAAGAATGCAAATAATGATATTCGATTTACCTATTTATATACGCTTTCCATTTTATAAGCATCATTCCTAAGCAAATGATGATATTAAGTAGAGTTGGATGACAAAAATACAGATTTAAGATAAGTTATGAGGGTTAACTGCATCGTCACAGAAACATAAATTGTATTAAAATGTTTCATTTATGCATAAAGGTTGTCATTTTTCTTTAAAAAGGCCGACAGACATTAATAAATTAATGTAAATTGTAATAATAGCCAATCGGAAAAATCGGAGTGTTATCCTCGAGGCAGGTTACATTTCTTCACCTTATCGTTCGGTAATACATCCGTAGCACGTGTCGTTGATACTATCGACTTATATTTTACAAGTCATTTTGATAAAAATATACGAAATATTAGATTAATTCACCAAAAACCGATAAATTCGAACTCATTAATATTAATTCTCTATGAGCACATCTCGTTTTTATATCAGTACTACTGGTATTTCAAGAATCTACAAAACATAGAGATTAGAAATAGCGGGCAGTTTTAAAGTATAACACAAATAAATTAATATTACAATTTACAAAGATTATTTTTAATTGGGGGCCAGTGTGTAGCATAGTCTATTAAAATAAAAAGCAATATTTGTGGTTTATTTTGTTAACAATACCATCGAGTGATCCACAAGCATGTATATTTATTATAAACATATAAAAGTTTGTTTAATTTTATCTAAGTCAGTATGTAAAGACAATTTTGTTTATTTGGTTTCTTGACATTTCTGTGGAATTAATACCACTTGGGCTCTGGTGCTAAAGGTACCTATTCTAGGCAAGGCTATCTCAGTTATGGATAATTATTCTTTTTCTTTTAGATTTACGACGCAAATAAACAGGCCCCCAAATATTGACAATATTGACAACTAAAAATAAATAATATACGTCAATTTATATCAACGTTTTTTAAATAAAAAAATGTTAAATAACATAAGAAATCTGTACAGTATTTTGTAAAGCCTAATTTCAGCAATGACAGAAGTCCTGATTTGTGAAGTTTCGGTAATTTTGGGAGATAGTGTCGTTAGTCGAACAACCTGACTTGACCCGGTTATTCATAGAAGGTACTTGCTTTAGGGTTGAGTGAACCATTATTCCGTACATATGGAGAAAATTGCTAATGCAGAATACATTTTATATTGAAGAATTTGTTGTATTACTTTCGGAAACTAATGCGAAATGAATTCTAATGAAAATGTACTGGAAAAGATTTGAAAATACATAAAGAATTTTATGATGACCTCCTCTATAAAATACATTGTTCTATGCTCTATATTTTTTCACTATATTTATCTGGTTTGTTAGGTAAATGTTAAGAAACCTCAACACACTATCAGGCAGATATTGTTTCCTCCACCCACGTTTGAAACCCCTTCCTTTCAACATTAGATTTAAGATGCGGATGCCATTAAAAAGAAATTATTGTTTTCTGGAAATATGCTATCGCAAAAAAACATCCCTCAACATCTTCCATCGATTGATTCGAAGAGAGATATTGTCATAGAAAACAAGTTACCTAATATTGTTGACAAAGTAAAAATCAGAAAAAGTATCATCTATTATTAATCTGATTCTTGTGGAAAATAAAATCTTCTTTATATTTAATTTAGGTATAGAATCCTTGTGGCAATTGTCATCGAATTGTGGTTGAAAGTATTACTGCCGACCGTTAATCCACTATTCACAAGTTCCATATTTAAATATATATATATATATATATATATATATATATATATATATATATATATATATATATATATATATATATATATATACACATATATATATAAATATATATATATATATACACATATATATATAAATATATATATATATATATATATATATATATATATATATATATATATATATATATGTGTGTGAAGGGATAAATAATACATATACACAGTAGACATCAAAAGTTTTCGTACACGCTCTGGTTGAAAACAGAAAATCCATAAAACAATTCTTTACATTTTTTTTTATTTGAACCTTATTATGACGGTAATCAATCTTAAAGTGTTTTGTCATAGTATTAATGGTTTTGTATATAGTTTAGTTTGTTTTGTATATAGTTTAGTTTGTTTTGTATATAGAATTTTTACCTTATATTTTTTTTACATTATTTCTTTTTTTTGATTGATTTATTTTGGCCAGATGTAATATTTTAATTTTGTTCTATTTTGTTATTCTCAAGGAACTGTGTCCCAGAATAAAGTTATTTTTCTATTCTATTCTATTCTAAAGGAATAAAGTTAAAAAGATGTAACCATAAAAATAGTCGTTAAGCCAATTTGGTCATAGTTGACGTTTTCCTTGGATTCACTTTTGTCGCATTTCCATTCCGACCGTGAGAAAGTTTCTTTGATTATAAAAACTGCTTTGACTATATAAAATTTTGAAGAACTACTAAAGAATATGAAATTTAGCAAAATACTCACACAAGAGGTTACTACAACATTTATTACATTGTTTTATTCTTATCGAAATCTCATTTCATAACTGAAGTATCATTTATGTAACAATATTTATTTTTTACTTAGATGGAAGTCTCAATGCGGCCCTCCGTCAGACGAAAATTTGTGGAAGTAAATTTTAGTATAATAAGGGACCAGAATTAAAGAAATCAGTAAACAATTTATAATAAAAAATATTTATATTGTAAATATTAAAATTAACTATAGAGAAAAAAAATCAAATATTATAATATGTTTCAAACTACTTCAATACTTGAAGTATAGTGGTTAGGTTAGTCTGTATCAGGCTCCTGAAGTGCGCTGTGCTGTTTGATATATATATATAGTTTCAGTGACTGTCGGTATCAAGTGAAGGGCCGCTCCCCCTCCCCCTGGTAGGTACAAAAAAAACTGATCATGAAAAAATTAACTAAACAACCGCCACTTTTATTATTATTATTTTAATTGAAAAGTGAATTGTTTTAAACAAATAATTTTGATTTATACTTAGTAATAAAAAAACGAATAATTTAAAAAGCTTGAATATTTTAACTAATTTTTTTTAATTAATTGGCGCAATATCTGATTCTTTAAGCTGGAAGTAGTTGCTAGATTGCTCCAGTCCATTGAAAACTATTTTAAATTGAATTTGTGGTAAAACATTATGCAAATATGTGGTGTTTTAGATTCATAGACCTCAATTATTCAGTTAAGGAACTTTTACAACTATTTTATGGCAAAATACTAGCGAAACAAAAAACCTAAAATTCAAATTTCTTTTCATATATATATAAAAGGGGCTGGGGTAGCCGTACGGGCTAAGGCGCTTGCAATAGATAATCAAAGTTAAGCAACGTCGTGCGTGGTTAGTACTTGGATGGGGTGACCGCCCGATTTGGGTGACCGGCCGCCAGGGAAAGCCAAGCTGCCCGAGTCTCTCTCTGCTCCTCCCTGGTTATTAGAGGCCCGTCAGCCTATTAGAGGCAACTCATCAGGGTAGGACTGATGACCCTACCCCGTGTACTTAATCGGGAATCGGGATGTGGTCTACCAGGATGTTAGTAGCTCCCCTGAGGTTCGGTCCATGGACGGCCCGTTTCGGGGAGATAAATATAGGTCCTCGTGCGCCTGCTGACTCCGAGCAGTCATAATCCAGGGATCTAGACCGATTTGTCACTGTTCTTGAACCCCAGTGAGTCGGTGGGAAGGGCATTGCCAGATTGGCCCCAAAGGCATCGGCTATGGAGCTACAGGTGGCTTGTCGCTGTTAGTAGCAACGTGAGGTTGGGTGACCCCCTCCAGAGCTCCCGCAAGCAGCATGCGTCTGTAAGGAGACCACATCTCGCGGCGAAAAATCTTCTTGGTCTGTAGAGCCAACCGAAAAAAAAAAGAAAAGATATACTTCTGGTGCATGGAATTCATCTGTTCCGCAATTGCGATTCC